TGGGTATAGATTGACATAAAAGCATTAAAATAATCATTTCTATATCAGAAAGGAAGATGTAAGATTTCTAGTTTATTATCAAGAGTTATTATAATAGCAGATTAGTTATTATAATATTGTGTAGCAATAACCAAGTACAGTAAAAAGAAAATAATTTACCCACTCAGGCAAAAAGCTGTCATAAATAAACTAATAGCAGATCGGCCATGAAGGATAACATTTAAGGCAGTTAACACAATTTAATCAAGCCATCAGATGTGCCCCACAAACGCTTCATCCCACAACATTTCCATATCAACACATAAAATCCCATAAACCCCATAAATAAAAAAACAAGTTGATCAAACTTTCAGTCCAACTGTCCTCTTTGAAGGAAAGTTTGTTTTGAAGGAGGATGAGGGAAACGCCCACTTAATTTAGGTGTCTACACACCGAAATAAAAACGATCTCACCAGATTTAAATGTCCATGGGCTTTAGCATGCCTCTGCTGAAGTTCTGGGTAAGAAAGAATGATAATCCACTGTGATCCAAACTCAGGGTGAAGAATAAGCTGCAGGTAATCCAGGGCAACGGCCTCACGCCAGAACCTCCTCGGAAGCGCACCCAAGAAAAAGAAAAAAACCCCGCCGTCACTTCTAAAACCACATCAAAAGCCCAACCCAGCCCACCCATCAAGCACACCATTTTGACCTGGCCCAGTCGCCAAAAATCGCAGCTCTAATTCTGGATGTCAACAACAAACTGGTTGATCCACTATTGCCCCTTTTGCACTGCCCCTAATCAGCCCCACTCTGCTCAGCCCTTCACACCCCGACTCAGCCTGGCTCAGCTCAGCCTGGATTTGCACCTGCACTTTAGGACCAATTCTGGAGGCGTGTCCAGAATCCAAGTCCTGCTAATGAGAGTTCTGCTATGAGTTACTCAAAGCAGTCTGCTCGTCAGATAAATAATATTAAATTATTATTTTTATATATGAATGTTTCTGTTAACTTATTTTATATGTGAATATTTCTGTTCAGTGCCCTGACACGACTTCTGTTGTGACTTGGCGCTGTATAAATAAACTGAACTGAATTAAATCTGATTAACCAAATTCTACAAAAACATTTATATTTAAATCTAAAAAAGTTAAGTCTGGTCCTCTGGACGTTCAAAAAACAAAACAAAACAAAAAAAAATGTAGAAATGTTTCATCTTTCATCCGAAAGACTTCAGTCTGAGGTGCTGTATTCGGCTCATAGCCATTTATATAAGACTGAGCTGAATACAGCTCAGACTGAATAAGTCTTTTGGATGAAAGACGAAACGTTTCTACGTTTTTTTTTTGTTTGTTTTTTGAACGTCCAGAGGACCAGACTTAACTTTTTTTTAGATGTTTCTACCTGGATTATTGAGCATGCATCAGGATATGTATATTTAAAATTATATATTTTTCTTCATCATTTGATGTATTTGCACTCATTGTGCTTTTGTTTCATGTCTACAGATTATTTTTTTCTTGTATACAGATTATTTTTTCTTGTATACAGATTATTTTTAGCTTTGAATTAAAGTTTAGCTTTGATTTAAAGCTTTAATTTAAAGTGTAATTCTTGTTTTGTGATTTGTACATCTGGGGGTTAGAAGAATGTTGAACCAAAGGCTGTATCTCTTCTTTAAACATGTTTGAGGGAAATATTCCTGAGAGATCCAATAATTTTGTCTTTTTAAAATGTTTCAGTTGAATTGACTTTAATTAACAGATTATTTAATAATGTAGTAGTAAGGGTTATTTAATAGTTAAAATTCGTTATGAATTTTATTTTGAAGGGGCACCACTCTCAGCTCTGAGAGAACATCTGAAGGACTGAAAATCAATTCAGATTATTATTTAATTACCTCGAATTACCCTTTTACACCATGAGTTTTTTTATATGAAGGATTCAGATGTCATAAGTAAAACACACACGCTTTAGTACAATTTTGTGATGTTTATTTGAATATACATGATAAACAACTGTTTGCAATAATTTCTGACATTTAAAATGAAGGCTTTGGTCCCAGCTGGGGTTAGATGGAAATTAAATGACCGTCAAAATTACTGGTTAGCATGGATTAACAGATAAATGAAATTATTCTATATGCTTAATCAAACCAGAAACAAGATGCAATGTGAAAAATTTTGTTATTTCATCAGGGCAGATTAATTATGAAGTTTTACTAAAAGAAATACGTTTTATCGTTCACTATTTAAAATTTGGTCTGAAATTTAAAGAAAAATAATTACTGAACTGAGTTAAACTAATTTGGTTAAAAATCTAAATTCTTGAACACCAGAGTCAACCGTCAGAGTACAGGTCAGCTTTCTTACCAGTAGGGGTTGAACGAGTATATAATTTTTAAACTCGACATTAACATAATAAAACCCGAGTAGAACTCGAGTATTTGATAACGTCATAGATCTCAAGATACAAAAATAAATAAATAAATAAAACCGAAATAAAAGGTAATTATTTACAAAAAAATGACCAACAAAACACTGGGAGCATATATTATGCTCCTACCATTTATCATACTGCAAATAAGTCACAGGAAAAACTAAACTATTAGTTATTATTATTAAACTGCAAACGTGAAGAAACGTGCAGCACATCAGAAACGAAACTTAAAACAGTGGATGGGCGGTGGATTGGACCCGGTGTTACACCATATTCTGTGACCTGCAACAGTGCAACACCGCCCCCTACGGTCATACGGTGGTCACATAATATGACGTCACTACAGTTACTCAACATTACATTTTTAACCTCGATAGAGGTCCTAGCAATCGATGTGTAGATTACTCGAGTACTCTGTTAATGCCTTACTTACCAGAAGTCGTCTTCGCAGGCCGCCAAAGATACCAGATGTTAGACTCTTTCTGCTCAGATGGTCTGGTGATGTGAAGTTGGAAATTTCTTCACATTCCTGACATCAAGCCGATGAGTTTGTCACTGGCTCTAGTGGTCAGCCTGAGCGTCTTCTGGAGTTCTGGACAGTTGTGGTTAACTCTTTGATGAAAACTGCAGGTGTTTTGATTGCTGAAAAGGATTCTATCAAACTTTGCCCAAAGTTGAAGCTAATTTTCTCCTTGGAAGTCTTCAGAAGGTTGTGTCTTAGAGCTTGTATCGCCTCCTCGGGAGGGGTTCATCACTTCATCATCATTTCTCTTCATCCTCTTCTGAGAGGTCGTCCTCTCTTGTAAACAAATGACCACACCTCTGATTTGAAAGAGGTGGTAGATTTGAACCAATCCAAATGAAAGGGCTGAACTTTTATCTACTCAATAAAGTATTATTTTAATCTGCTCTGTTGAAAAAGTCATCAAATAAAATCATTTAAGACACTTATCAACTTTAAATGAGGTTATCCAATACAAACACTTTATCAACCTTATAAACAGAAAACAAGTTTGTAAACTTTTGGCCTACACAGGTTATTGTCAGCTGTAAGGGAACAACAAGGCAGTTATTTAGTTATACCCAATTAAACACTTAGTTCATTACAAAAACAGTATGACTTCTTCTAAAATGTGAATAAAAAGTCTGTCTGTTTTCTTGCATGCTAGAAATGGGACCTAAGTGTCAAAGTTGGAATTCCTTTGAACAGCGAAGCGTTCTGTTATTTATGATTGTTGATGGGATAGTCTGAGGGAGGCTGGTATAAGTGGGTACCAGGTCATCCTGGAGTGATGTGTGTTAACTCAAACATCCATTTTGTGGGGTTCACAGAAAGGGTGTTCCAATATTATTCAGATTTATGGATCCTTGGGTTGTCTTACCAACCATAAAAGTCTTCTTTTGACACTTTCCAGAGTTAGAAATGCTGAAAACAAACTTTAAACTGTCCCAGGTTCTGAAGTGGGGGTGCGGTGGGATGTCTCAGTTGTTCAAAGGATGAAGAGTTTTTTTCTATTTCAGAAACATCTTTACAGAATGAACTGCTCTGTCACAGAAATAAAAGGTCTGTTACAAAATGACATTCAGGGACGCAGGTATATCTCTACAATAAATTCAAAGGGAAAACAGGATTTCACGATAAAGCCGGCACTGTTTATTTATTTTTAATCTTCACTGATAAAAAAAAACGTATTTTATACATATAATGTTAAAAAAAAAAAAAAAAAAACGTTTTCACCCCCCCCCACCCCCCACCCACCGTCCCTCCATCCCAGTCCCCCCGCCTGCCAGGGCTCGAATCCGGCCTTTGTGAGCAGGTGAGGCCAGGGCTTGGGGTTTGGCCTCGCGGGCTTCAACATCTTGGCAGCTTGTATGATCCTCTGCGGTGACACCACTTGCTCGATTTTTTATAGTTGGTCACCAAACACAAAATACACCTGGACTTCAGAATTAAACACGGCGTTGTCATTATTGTTTTTAAAATCTTAAAAATGGATCCAGCCGCTGCTCCGCATCCAGAGGAATTGCAAATCGCGGCTCAGTGAAAAGTTTCTGAGATCCAGTGATTCCTCCCCCTGACCAATCAGAGTCCTGCATTCACGTTTCGGTCCGGACTCAGCTCGACTGAGCTCGCTCGGTCCCACCAGAGAAGCAGGGACGAAAAGAGATCCTGAATCAGCTAAATATACTAGCTAAAGGGCTGGTGCAAAAGGGTTCTTTCTGTGGCAGGCTGCCCAGAATTAGGGCTTATTAGGGGCAGCGCAAAAGGGGCATATGAGGAGGTGCCGTTTATAAGACTGAGTTTGTTGCAGCACCTCAGACTGAAGAAGTCTTTTGGATAAAAGATAAAACGTTTCTACAAGAAGACTCCGTCCAGAGGACCTGACTGAACTTTGTCAGATTTTTTACTTGGATTATTGAACATGAATCAGGATATTTGTAACATCTAGTTTCCTGGCTGAATAAAAAGAATCTCATATCTTATGCAGTGAAGCACATTAAATGGTAAATGGACTGTACTTATATAGCGCCTTTCTATCTTATTTCAAGATACTCAAAGCGCTTTACACTACAATCTGTGCCCTCATTTACCCATTCATACAGCACTCTACTAGATCTCTACAAAGCTCATTGAACAAATCATTCTAATGAGACTAATCAGTGCTTTAGATCACATTCATACACTGATGGGACACAGATCAGAGGCTATGAGGGATTCAGTGTCTTGCCCAGGGACACTTCAGCATGTGACTGCTGGTGGATTCGAACCCCCAATTCTCGCATTGGAGGACGACTGCTCTAACCACTCAGCCATAGCCGCCCAAATTAAAGTTTAACAGAAGCATCAGTTTAACAGTAAAATAACATTTTCCCATCAGATAACTGAAATATGAAAAGAACCATAAATCTAAACAAGTTATATGTATTTTGACACAATATGCATCTATAATAAAATGTCACTATTTGTTCTCCAAGAACTGAGATAAATCAGTATTAACAGCGATCTGTCACACAGTTAAGTAGTTGGAACCATCTTCAGCAGCAAAACAAAAAGAAAACTTTTGATGACAATGTTTTTAAGGCCACTGAGGCCCCAACGTGTCATTTCAATCAGATTAGGTCTGCACTTAGTAACTTTGAGATTAGATACTGTTTTTATGCTTTCTTTATTGTAATTTAGTTGTCTGTTTTCAAAACAAGATAGTTTAAAACAATATAGACAGAAAGTAAACATGTTCGGTTTATTCTGAATTTACAGTCTTTCAAGAGAGAAACAATCATCTGTAGTTACTTCATTCATTCAGCTGGTTGTAATTTGTACTAACTTCCAGTAGATGTCACTAAACACACCTGAAGCTTTTAAATGATCAAATTTTCAAATGTTATGTGGAAAAGAAAAATAAAACATGAAAACCAGACAGAAACAGTTAATTGAATCCCTGCTGAAACCTTCTACTTTTCGCCTATCTGTCTTTGGTCCAGCTCTCATAATGTTTTACTTCTTTCTCTTCTCATCATTCTGTCTGACTCATCATCATTCGTTTCTATTACGTTTCATGCTTTTCATTTCTGTCTTTTCTGTGTTTGTTACTTTTTGTTCTTCCTCCATATATCATATTTTGGTGGATGTTTGTCCTTCTCTCCTCTTGGGCTGGCCTGTCCTTTCCTTTCTTTTGTCTCATACATATTTTGCTCATCTTCTGTTATTTCAAATTGCTTGTTCAATTTTCATCTAGGGTAGTGGTTGGGTTAAAGGCAGCCCAACGGCCCTAATCTCCACTTCTAGCACACCAAGCTGTGGACGTCGGCAGCTCCCACAGACCCCACTCACCCCACGGCCCGGGATGGCATACAGGACTGCATATTCCTCCCCAGTGCATCTTGTGTCCAGCCAGGCCTCTCTGAGTCCCGGCAGACTGAGTCGTGGCCTGTCAGACCATAACGCCCTTCGTCACTGTGGTTCCCATCATTTCCCTTGCCCTGTCACTCGGATCAGCTCAGAACCCTTTCTGGGCCAGGGCTACGGTGAGACCTTGAGCAACCCTTATGGCAGCTTCCAGGACCGGTTGGATGTCTTCCAGGATGTGGCGTCACTGTCCCCAAGTTCCAGTGCTGAATGCTCATCGCGGACCACACTGCCACGCATGATGGGAGCCCTACTTCCAACTCTTGGTGTAGACCCTGGTGTACTCAACGGGTACAACCTAAGCATTGGGGGAAGCACCAGCCCAGGCTCTGGCAATAGAGCACTGAGGTAAAGGAGGTAGAGACAGATTAGGGGTGCTAGCATGGCTTTGAAACAACCTATTTAATCTATTTTTTAAGAAATTTTGATGAGTTTTATCATCTTCAGTGGCTTTAGTTTACATTGTCACTTTCTGTTTAAATGCTATATTTTATTTGAAATCAAAGAGTAAAGGGCAGGACAAACATCTGGACATGTAGAGTGCTTTAAATTGGTCAAAGCAAAACAAAACAATGAAATGTGATGAGGGATGTGCTTTCTACAGACCATGTAGCATTATAAAATAAAAATAACATTTTTTCCAATCTAGGATATCTCATTGTGGCTGTTTAAGGTTTGTTTTAGACTTGAGTGTTTTGTTGACACCACCATATTGACCCTCCAAAATTACAGTCCAAACGCTGATCTGCTGGGTCGTGTATAAATCCTCCTCTACCTGGAAGGATGCTCCATCCATTTGTTTCTGTCAGAAAATGGTTCTACAGTTCTACATATGCTCATTTACAATTTCTTAGGTGGATTGTGACCAGTGATGGATTTTTGGCTATGAGCTTGATAATAAAAAGTAAACCAGTATCACTTTTATTATTTTTTTTAGCAAATTAAACAATTGCCTTATTCCATATTAAGTATATTCAGCAGCAGAAGTGTTTATTCATGGTCTTGTTTGCCCTACTTTGGTATGCAGCTGTCACTAATCACCAGCTAATTTTTTATGTTGTACTTTTTTGTCTTAATCACTACATAATCCATTTTCCATCCATCCATTATCTTTACCCGTTTATTCCATTTTGGGTCACGGGGGTCGCTGGTGCCCATGTCCAGCAATCACTGTGCGAGGGGCGGGGTACACCCTGGACGGGTCGCAAGTCCATCACAGGGCCACATAGAGACAAATGAGACAAACAACCATTCATTCTCTCACTCACACCTAGGGACAATTTAGAGTTACCAATCAGCCTAACATGCATGTTTTTGGACTGTGGGAGGAAACCGGAGCACCCGGAGAAAACCCACGCATGCACGGCGAGAACATGCAAACTCCACCCAGAAAGGCCCTTGGACCGGGGTTTGAACCAGATACCTGCTCGCTGAGAGGCAGCAGCTCTACCAGTTGTGCCACCGTGCTGCCCCACATAATCCATTTTACAAAATTACAAACAACAGCAATCTTGGTGTTAGAAGAAAGATCTTCATTAAGATTAACCACCACCTTCCAACATCAGTAGAGAGGAGAGGGATGCACTCACCACTCTTAGCAAGGACAAAAACATCATCATTCTCCCAGCAGACAAAGGAAGGTGCACAGTGATTTTGAATCAGAAAGACTATCATGAGAAAGTTATGACACTCCTTAATGACTTAAACACTTATGAACCTCTGAAAAGAGATCCAGGAAGTGGTTACAAGAAAAAGTTAATAGATTGCCTGAAAATTTTGGAGCAGGACAAGGCTATTGACCGTTTTCTGTACCACAGACTGTACCCAGGGGAGGCCACACCTAGTCTGTATGGTTTACCTAAAATCCACAAACAAGGTGTACCTTTAAGACCAATTAGGTCTTAGGTATGATTAACTCTGTCACTTACAATGTTTCCACATATCTGGCGTCTGTACTCATCCCTTTAGTTGGCAGCTCAGAACACCACATACAGAACACCATGGACTTTGTGGATAAGATGAGGGATGTCATCATGGAGACTGATGAAACAATGGTCTCTTTTGATGTCACATCACTCTTTACGTGCATTCCTGTTGATGATGCAGTAGAGGTGGTCAGTTTAAAATTAAAATCAGACACCACTCTGAGCAGCAGGACCACGCTTTCCACAGAACATCTGTGTCAACTCTTGAAACTGTGCCTGCAGTCAACCTACTTCACATATGGGGAGCAATATTATAGGCAGAAACATGGGTGTGCTATGGGGTCTCCAGTTTCTCCTATTGTTGCCAACCTGTACATGGAGGAGGTAGAAAAGAGAGCCTTGACGTCCTTTTCAGGGACACCACCAAGTCATTGGTTCAGGTATGTTGACGACACCTGGGTTAAAATTAAATCTCAGGAAGTCCAACATTTTACTGACCACATCAACTCTGTGGATAAATACATCAAGTTCACACGAGAAGATGTAAAAAATGGCAGGTTGGCTTTCTTGGACTGTGAGGTCTCAGTCTCTGATAGACATTTGCAAACTGAGGTGTACCGCAAACCCACCCACGCAGACCAGTATTTGCAGTTTGACTCCCATCACCCTTTGGAGCACAAGTTAGGAGTCATCAGGACTCTGTATCACAGAGCAGACAGCGTCCCCACTAGCTCAGGAGCCAGGCAGAAGGAGAAATCCCACACAAGACAGGCTCTAGAGCAATGTGGATATCCTAACTGGGCCTTTTCGAAAGCAGAGAAGAAACCAAAACAGGACTCCAGTCAGCCAACAGGTGAAAAGGAGGAACCCAGACCAGTGGTCATTCCATATGTTGAGGGAGTATCAGAGAAACTGAGACGTTTATTTTCTAAACATAACGTCCCAGTGGCTTTTAAACCCCAAAATACATTACAGCAAAGACTGGTTCATCCCAAAGATCCAGTCCCCCGGCACAAACAGAGTAATGTTGTGTATGCTGTTCAGTGTCAGGAGGGCTGTGATCAGTCATACATCGGGGAAACAAAACAGCCACTGGCCCAGCACAGAAGATCAACTTCATCAGGCCAGGACTCTGCGGTCTTCACTCATCTCCAGGCCAGCGGTCACTCTTTCAGGGATGAAGATGTTCACATCCTGGACAGAGAGGAACGATGGTTTGAGAGAGGAGTAAAGGAGGCCATCTTTGTGAAAAGAAATCGTCCATCGTTAAACAGGGGTGGAGGCCTCCGGGTTCAACTGTCCCCCTCTTACAATGCTGTGATTGCTAGTATCACTCAGCCCTCTGTGAACAGTAAACAGCCATCAGTGTGCTAATGATCCATTGTTAGGCTGATGGTCCTTCTTGAGCATGTGATCAGCTGGTTTTGGTTGTCAGCAGCAAAACTGGTTGATCCACTCTGAGACGGTGCTATTTAAGAGACGGAGCTGAATACAGCTCCTCAGACTGAGGAAGTCTCTTGGATGAGAGACGAAACGTTTCTACATTTTTTGTTGATTTGCTTTGTTTTTTGTTTTTTTTTAATGTCCAGAGGACCAGATTTAACTTTTTTAGATTTTTCTACCTGGATTATTGAGCATGCATCAGGATATCTTCATTAAGACATCTCTAGTTAAACCTGACAATGCCAGCCTGTAATACCTCTTTGTTCGTCATCAGTCCATCATGACAGGAAATGCTGCCAAAAGAATTTTCTCTCACACATTCTATTTTCTCAAGCTCTTATCAAGAATGTGTGAGGACTTGTTGTAAAGTCAGACAAAATGACAGAAAGCAACAAAATATACTGAAAACAGCTCATGCGTTGTTTAGTTTTCTCTTGATGTAAATGAATTAACGGGAACACTGATCATTTTTGAAGTGAGTTCTGTCAAAATGTTCGAAGCTGATCAGCCATCAGAGTCAGAGTCAGAGTCAGAGTTTCTTTATTGTCATTCGCACCTCATGTGGTACATGTGGTGGAGCGAAATTGTGTACACAGGGTCCCAGTTACATCCAACAATAAAATGTCTAAGAAAAACAGTAATAACATCTAAGATATGAACTAAGAAAAACATCAACTAAATATACACTAAGCACTCATAACATAAAAATATTGAACATCAGCACAAACATGAACATGAGTCTGTGAGCAGATGTGCACGCATGAACACATCAACATTGAAACAGATCAGCAGCAACATGAAACAGATCAGCAGCAACATGATATGGTTTTTCACAGTGATTATTTTAGTTAGAGATTCATGAGTCTAACAGCCTCAGGGTAGAAGCTGTTCCTCAGTCTAGTGGTTCTACACTTAATGCTCCTCAACCTCCTTCCTGAGGGGAGTGGGGCAAAAAGTGTGTGTGCTGGGTGGGTGGGGTCCTTCATGATGCAGGTGGCCCTCTTCCTGCATCTGGAGGTGTAGATGTCTGTGATGGTGGGAGAAGACTGATTCCAACAGATTTCTGTGCAGCCTTCACCACACTCTGCAAAGCTTTTCTTTCTGCAGCTGTGCAGCCTCCATGCCACACGTTGATGCTGGAGCACAGGATGCTCTCCACTGCACACCTGTAGAAGGAGGTGAGGACTGAGCTTCCCAGACCAGCTCGCCTCAGCCGTCTGAGGAAGTAGAGTCTCTGATGAGCTTTCTTGATCAGGCTGGTGGTGTTGTTGCTCCAGCTGAGGTTGTCATTCATGTGTACACCCAAGTACTTGTAGCTGGAGACCACTTCCACCGCAGATCCTCTTATGTTCAGGGGGGTGTAGATGTTTTTGTTCCTTCTGAAGTCCACAATCATCTCCTTTGTCTTCTTCACATTGATGTGAAGGTTATTCTCTCTGCACCAGCTCTCCAGGTGTTCCACCTCTTGCCTGTAGCTGGACTCATCATTGTTTGTGATGCATCCCACCACCGCTGTATCATCTGCAAACTTTACAATGTGACAGCCTGGATGCGTAGCTGCACAATCATCAGTCATAGAGAACAGAGCATGAAGAAAAGGCTAGCTAAACAGATAAACTGTTTTATATCATTCACAGAAGATTAAATCATGTCATCTAGTTTCTTTTTGGGAGAAACGTTTCATCTTTCATCTGAAAGACTTCGTCAGTCTGAGGCCTTCCACCAAGATCTGTCTTATAAATAGCACCTCCTTAACGTGTTTCAAGCCAGCCCTCTGTGGAATTCCCAGAAACTGGCTTTACACGTGCAAAAAGGACCAGTTTCTGTGAAATTCACAGAGGCCTGGCTTTAAACACGTCAAGGAGGTGATCTTTACAAGACAGATCTTGGTGGCATGCCTCAAACTGATGAAGCCTTTCGGATAAAAGAAGAAACATTTCTCCCAAAAAGAAACAGTCCAGAACACTTTTTGTGATTCATCTAC